GTTAGAAACGTTATATTAAGATGTGTTCCTGCTACGGGCTCCTGAGCAAGTCTTGTTGACGAACTCAGTTCCTGCCGAAAGTAATGAGCATTTGAGCGGTTCGAAAGGGCTAACATAAATTCTACGAGCGTACGGTATGACAGCTCTATAGGCGCCGAAGCTGCCCGTTTGGACGATTCGTCGGCGATTGTCTCGGCGGTGATGACACTCCGGAAATCCACTAGTGCTTGTCTTGTTCGATTCAGCATGTTAGTGGCCGTTTGTTCGCAGAAGCAGAAGTCCTTCAACGGTAATGTGGTACTACCAGACGCTTTCAAGGGCCTTTCATATATTCTGTAAAAGCCTGCCAGGTGACTGACTTTCACCATGCCTGGCTGTAAGCAGAAGATGTTGCTTCGTGTACTATATATAGTAATAATAATACTAGTTACCGTACTTATCAATGTATAAACACTTCTAGTTCAGTTGGCTTGTTTGAGTAAAGTTATTTCGAGTTCAGCTCTTAAAGCACCAATGCGAGTTTCATGCAGATCTTGAAGCAATGCACACAGAGCAAGTACGCTGCTTTTTATGCATTGAATGAAGTAACGTCCATCGAACACCAATCAAGAAAACATGGTAAGTTAATGAAGTGAGACTTGAATACGCACGGAGTTTGCCTGGGACACCCGGTTCGCTCAGGCTGTGCACGATTTCATACCGGTGGTAAACTGTTTCTTTACATAAGCGCCACTGGGTGGCGCTGCTGTGCTTCCGCCGCTGCAACACGCTTTCCGACAACGTGAGGAGGTGGGGGCGTTTCCATGAGCTTCATTGCTTATTTTTTGGGAGGCAAGAAGCAGGTAGTGGAGCCGCTGGCTTAGCAGATCTGTCTCACTCGACTGGCCAGTTTGTTGGTTTTTCAATTTGAACAATTCAAGTGGCGTCAAGCGGCTTCCTAATATTTCAGTTTTCAAAAAAGGACAGACGAGGCAAGAATGCTTTCAGGTCCGGACGTTCATATCGGCTCTGTGTATGGGGACCTCGGTGTGCGGGTGCGGGGTACGTTTTGCGTTCGCTCCAAAAAGATGCTTCCATTTTACTTTTACATAATTTGACCTTCACTGGGAGCCACTCGTCGGTTATGAGAACGCGATTATTAATAACGGGATGAGCGAAAGTAAATTTGTAAAATCTCATCCACCGCTAGCTGAGAAGATCCAAAAGTTCTGCGCCATTTTTTTAGCGCTAGCACGCGGACAGCCCGCCCTTTGCTTTTGCTTGCACAGGCCGTTTTTTTTAGACATTTCGTTCAGCTTCTTGTTATAACCTAAAAAATAGTTGCGAGGATTTAATATAAGGCTAATTTTAGACTTATCAAGGTTACCAGTAGTGACCAGTAACTAACACAGTTTTATATCAGCTATCTGCAACAAAAAGGCATTAACACATCGATGCAAAAACGGCGTGGTCTCTCTTTATCTTTAAAAAATTATTTATTTATTATATTTAACATGTGTACTTTGTTTATGATTGGCTGCTATGATACCCGTGCAAAAACAATAGGTATTCAAGCAAGTTAGTTGAAATCGCAGCGTGGGCCGAAAATGATGACAGAGCTTCCTTTCTCCTGCCACTCCTTCTACTGGGGCAGGTCGTTGGATAACGCTGTTACGAATATAGCCCACCTTTTCTTGTTACGTAAGTAGAATAATTTAATTGAATTAAATATTCAAACGAGCGGTTCTCTGCAGTTGTAATGATCTCCAATGCCAAGACATGGTTTAGGACATTTGGCCCGTCGCTGCGTCTTTCTTACGTCACCAAGCATATATAAGACTTGATAAGGCTTGGTTAGAGCATCTGTAAGACTTTTGTAAGTAGGACAATGAATGCATGGCGACCTTCTACCCTGTGTTTATTCAGGTGGGCTGATCATATCATAGGCTGTACATTTATCCCACTCTGCTCAATGGGACGACAAGGTGACGATACACGAATACGGTACAAGAATGTATTTTAGCGCTGCTGCTAAATGGGGCAAATTGAGGTTCTTTTCAAAGCATAATTATCGCTTAAATGCAGCTTGCGAAGTGAGGCCGTCCGATGATAGATTCTGTGGAAAGCTGCGAGCCAGGTCATAGCGCCACTAAAGGACGCTATGTTCATTGCAAGATACGAACGCCTATAGTGCCTCGTTCTTGACTGCAGCCTTGTTATAGAGCCTAATTGCCCTACGGCATAGAGGTCCCGAGGTTGTACAAATTAAATGAAACTTCCCTTTTGATTCGTCCAATTCCTGCCACAAGCTAAGAAGACTTTAGTTTCAAAAGAACAGATGCTTATGCTGTTTTACTATATTCCTATCTAGTTTAGATGGTATGTTTTTTCAGCACGAAAAACAACGTAACTATAATTATACTGACTATGAGATTGTTTTGGCTTTGTGTCTGGCAATGTAGCATACGAAACAATAGTCCGAAAATTATAAGAACTATCATTGAAAGTTTATTTGTATGGTTTTAATAGTCGACAAAGGACGTATACAATAGACCATTTTAATAATCTTCTTCAAATTCTAAATACCGAATAAATAAATTATCGTCTTATTTATTAAGGTTATTATTGTTTTGGTGCTGCTTTTCCAGCTGTTTTATCTGGGCCCTTTCGGGAGGTTAGTCACATTTGTGTTTAGGTGTAGTAGATCAGTCTTAAGGCTAAGGCAAAAAATGAAGTCTGCGATTCCAATCTTTCCAGATAAGCAAAACCGTTTGGGCTGCCTTTTCAGGCAGGATTATTCATCCGATTTTCGCTATAAACTACCTGTAGACCAATAAGGTTGGGCAGACGTGTCCTGCAAATGCTTAGGTGGGACCGTTTTATGTTTACGAAGTAGGACAGACCAGTCAGTCTTGGCTTCCTGCTTAAGCATTCGTCTCCGAGTCCACGGGATCGATTTTCAAGACTCTGGAATGTTCATACAGAAAAGATGTACATGCCTGAACAAAAGTCGAGTTTTGGTCTTCCTGACGGTGATTCTATCGAGAATCTTTCCGCCACAGCTTCCGAAGCTATCGTAACGATCGGGGGGAGAATGTCAATAACCATGAGACATCGTCTGCCTACCGTAACAAATATATTATCAATATAAGTTTGTCAACTGAATGAACACTCTGCTAACTAGATCTGATATTTAAATGCTCGAAGTCAGAACGAGCTGAATAAGTAGGACGCAACGCATTTATCTCGTTGAGTTGGTACACGAACATTTGCTCAGTAGCAAAAACTTGTGTCCGCTCCAAACTTTCTCATTGCGTAATGATGGCAACTAGCGACCGTGGCTGAAGTTCATCAGTAAACATGTCACGGGCCAATACTTGACAAATGCTAATTGTTTTGCCCCTACAGTTTTGTATGTATCAGAATAACTTTGGGCGTGGACTGAGTCTACACTGCATCTTTTCTATACTAACTGACAATTGTACGGCTAAATTCAGTTCACAAGCTTAGTACCCGGCACTCGAAATAAGTATTCTTGCTCGTCAATCTCCTGCATGGTTCTTCAGTGAATTTCGAAATTATGATGAATGCCATATTTGGCGTTGTACCAGTATGAAGCTTTTGATATCTATTGGTTGTGGCAGTGTTGCTATGATCGGATACACTGCGCCGATACGCGCTGAAGACTCGGCCTAAGGCGCCCGACCATTCGGTGGTGGACCTTCTTACGACAAACGTTGTCGTCAACGCCCTTCAGAGAGATGCGGCGTCCTCTCGTTTCGTATCTGCCTGTTTTCACTACGCGCCACATTGCCAAGTAGCCATACGACCAGTGGCAGCAATGTAAACAATGGTATCGTGGATCTGCTGCTACCGCCGCTACCAAATACTTACCGAGGATTTCCGCATACTGCGTAGCCGTCCGTCTGTCCAGCGCTGGAGCTGCTTTCGGTATTTTCGTTTGATACTACCATGGCCAGCTTACTCGATGACGTTGACAATTACCAGTAAAAAGGTTTGCATTGCTATGGCAGCGAGTTAGGCACTGTAGCAGAAACAGGCAAAAACGTCGAGGGTGGTAATGTTGTCGCCACGTTCACTTTTGGCCACCAACGATATTACCATCTCTGATCGACCGCTGATGATGCTGCGCTGATTGTGTATCCAACTGGTGATGATTTAACTGGTGTTACAACGTTTTTGTCCTGCTCTGTCTTGTGTCTGCGCAGGGGAGGGCGACGAGGGCGATAAGAACAGAAACAAAATTAACTGCTTATCGAGCAAGTAACAGCTGACAAACTGCGATTTCGATAGAGACTGTTCATAACAGGTTTGTTTAACGGTGGATACATACATCAATAACGGTAAGAAGGTAGTTCCTATTGTTGTCGTCTAAAAAGTCGTTCCGCTGGTAAAGTTGCTAGACCAGTCAAGAAGCCATCGGATAATATCGAGAGGACCGTGCTGATAAAAATCTTGCCCCGATTGCTGGCTGCTAGGCGGGATTCAACACCCAAAGATTGAAAATTGTAACTAAAGGTATTTTTTTTTCTTGAGAACACGCTCAATTTCAAAAACATCGGTCGCATACTCCTGTAGCCACTGTTGTAGTGAACATTGTGGAGTTTCGCAGCTGGCCGCCACGTATGCTTGTTTTTGTTTGTAATACTACCTTGTACTTTTTTTTTTTTTAAATTTGTGGCCTTTCACTGCACAAATAGCTGTGTAGATCGTTTCTCTATTTTCGTACGTATCCACAGATACGTTGCTATAGTCTTACCGTTTAATATCGAAGAAGTTCAACTTCCCGGTATGCGTTCATCTGATGCGTTTAGATTATGTTCAGCTGCATTAGTTAGTATGTAGTGTCATGGAGGCCATAACGAATGAAATTTTTAAACTTACAACTTAGGCACAAACAGACAGACAATCAACTGATACGTCCGAAAAATTTATTGCAAGGAAAGACGCGAAGTATACTTTTTCTTCATATCTTATCATTTTAGAACTCTGAATACTATTTAAGCTATTTTTTCAATTAATTAGCACTGATGTTATATGTGAAGTGATCCTTTCAAGATTCGCAGCCCGCTACCATTTTCAAGTAAGTCTTTAATGTGGGTCTCTAATTTCCCAACGAATCGACGCGTAGAATACGAGGGCTATGGACGCTATTTTGGCTGATCAATAGTTCTTGATGGTTTCGTGGCAAGCAAAACCAGCGGTCGGTCACGCCTTTTGGTGCTTCTTACGGCTGGCCTGGCTCTATCCTTTGCTACCCTCATCGCAGTCCATCTTATGGCGCATTGTGAACGGCCAGGAGACAAAAACTAGAAGCTATTTCACTATGCTCGAAAGCTGGTTCGTCACCGAATCAACGATCTTCTGAAGAAATCGCGTAATCGACGTAAACGGCTGTGTGTGTGATTTTTTGACAGTTTAGTCAACTGAGCATAAACGTGCAGAACTACTCGGAGAAAGGCGAAATAATCGGACCGACAAACAGACAATCGAAAAATAGCCATAAACACAGGCGAGCTGAAAGCCCGGCATTGAAGAAAACGTCACAAGTAGAAGCGTGCGATTGCGTTTGTCTTTTTATCTTTCCAACTGAGTAGATGACTGCAATGATCGCCTCAGATGCAGTGAACACGGTGTTTGTTGATGCTGAGCTTCGGAATTCTGATGCGATCGTCTGACACAGCCGAGCAAATGAACGTTTGTTGTGCTCGATTCAGAGTTGTTTATTAACTCAAAAAGACGCCATGAATGGCAGAGCATTGCATTTCGGTGACAACTATTTAAGGATTAGGTAAAGAGTAAAAAAAGATAAATACTATCTTTAACCGATCAGACGATCTCAGTGAATCTCGGGTGCATTTTTCATTGCTTCACCTCAACCAACTGCCGGGTTAAGTCGGACATACAAGGAAAACCAGGAGCATAATTCCGATTTGAACAGGTTTTCTCGATTTGGGAAATTGACATTTCGGATAATCATCCCCCACTTTAGACTTCTTAGATTTATGCGTCACTTCAACATCTGACGGAACGGGAGGTCGTACAGCCCGGGCCTACAGTCAATTCTTCCGATAAAAGACCAGGCGAGCATATCACCAGAATCGGACTGCATTCAAGGACGTCTATGCGCCATCCCTTCGTGAAAGCTTCGAAATATCCGTTTCGAAGGTTTCACGAATCGCCAAAGAATCGCAGTATTTATTGTCACAGATGCGCACAATTTTTCGATGATTGCGTTAGGCCATTTCGGGCCTGGCTGGTTGGGCCGGTCGCTACGAAGACGCTTCGCCTCTGTCTATTTGTTTACATGCTGTATCTTGCGGGACGATGATGACGTCAACAAAAACAGATTTTTTTCATCTCTATCTATGTTTTTCCCTCGCTCTTTTCCTATCAAAATGGCTTCATATGAGTTCGAGCCGCACAAGCTGAGGTAAGTTCATAACGAGGTCTGCGTCTATCGAATATGGTACTAAACCTTGATTTCGCGTCATAAGTGTGTTCCAAACCAATTTGTTTCGATTTCTTCTAACATAATACAACAATTTATGCCTATAAAGATCGTTGTCTGATCATCATCATCAGAAAAGCGTCATAAACTATGGTTACAACGCTAATCGATAGCTGACAATCGCTAACGTAAACTGTGCATCCGGTGACCGCACACGATGTTGTGTGCTTGTCGTCTGCTTATAGTGACAAGTCTCATTTGATGATGCTTCGTGGCTGTTTGAAAGGGCTGAATACCTACTTATGTGCTCACTACGGTTACCGTTAATTTTGCCGATCCGTGCATAAAGCGTAGTTTTCATGGAAACCAACGCGAAGAGGGAAAACAGCCCGGCTTTGCTAATAACTGTGCGATAAAATCGCAGTTCCGTTATATATATTTTTTGGCAGAAGGCGTTCCTGGCAATGATGCTCTCAGTTCCGTATAGTGTAATTGTAATGGAAGTAGTGATTTGCCATCCAACAACGAGCGAGGGCGAAAAAAACACGGAAAGCTAAGAAAACGTTCTACTATCGTCACGTTCAATCTTTGCAATGGATAACGAATAACGATTGAGTATCTATGAGGCAGTCATGCGCAACGCTATTCCAGTAGTAATTGCATGATTGATAGCGGCCGATAACTAGCTTCCGGTGCATTTCAATGTAGGACACTCCTTTCCTGCTCCCACGCGGCCTATCCAATCGAAAAGGTTCAGTCGTTGGCGTTCCATGATGTCACGGAATTTGAGTGGTGGCACGGTCCAACCGCCGGCACCCGGTCGTACATGGCATGACATCGTGTTGTATCTGCTTGTTACTTTCTGCTGTCGACGACATCGGTACGGCTCAATAGTGAGACACATGGCACTGAACTGAAAAAGGGAGTATTAGCAAAGGTAAGAGTTTACTGACAGGTCGGTTGCACACTAAGTCCGAGATTGAAGCCATCCTCGTCCTGTTGTTGACGGTTAAATAGACACTCGATTCAAAGGCTGCAAGTACAAGTACTTATAGAACTAGTGCTGCGTGTTACATAGCTGATAGTGTAATCATACCGGAAACGGAATGCGGGTAGTTTTGAGTGGCCTTTAGTATATGAGATTTTCTCAATGCAAGTTTCTCTTATCAAGCCGTGCTTGCCTAGCAAAAGTAATCAAAGTCTATCTTTTCTATCTTTTTAGACTCACATTTTATTTACACATATAAGAACAACAATAGTGCATTATTACTATGACATGGTCGAAGCTGTTTGAGATGGCTGGCATCAAAATATCTAAAGGCAAGATACCGGCTTACCGAGTACCTTAAGAAAGAAGTCTACAGTGACCGACCTTCCGTTTATAACAATGTTTATGTTTTTATCCCACTGGGAGTTCCGGTCAAAGCTTCTTGGTAGAAGCACTGGTGGCAGAAACTGCGGTTCGACACCTTGAGGTTCCGTCTATTATACGTACAAACAAGTTATATCTCTGGCAGCACATACAGGCGAATATTGTGTCCTTACTTGGAAATCCAATATCACAGAAGTAGCAATGTTTACTCTATGTGACACCTCATCACGTTCGTCAAGCAGGGACTCGTGGAAACGATGGCATATAGATACAAATTGGAGGGATCGCGTCATAAAGTAGACATGTTCCCCTGCGCGAGCTCTAAGCGATAAAAGCGTGTGGATAAAGCCTGACTTTATCTCAGCGTATCATCGATCTGCGGATTACGATCAAATTGATCCAATGGCTATTTTGACCATAAATCTCTTCGTTAAAGAATCCATAATGAGAAATACCTATACCGATGAATTAGAACTAATTTATCATTGGTATCGATGTGGGAGTACAAGGTTGAAAGCTTAAAAATTTTCTTTCGAGATATTTTAGTTACATAGCGCGATAGGTGATATCAGATGATCACAGATCACGGTTTATACAAGATTAGGTCTACAGTAGCGAAACAGTATCAGCGCTGCAAAATTGAGAACCAAATTGATAAAATGTGAATACTAAAGCCATAACGGAACTCTTCGATACATATTAGTTACGTATCGATGATACCTACGAAGTAATGGTAATTGCTTCCGCTGAGGCCCACATAAAAGGAATTTGTCAGCGATTGGCAAATGCTTCGGACAAATCTCAGAAGTCGACGATGGGGCAATAAGGTGATGAACACCTTAGACCGTTCGGCAGGCGTGCGGAAGGCAGGACAGTAGGTAGAAACTTGTAGCCCCCCGATGAGCGCTGTCGGTCCGTACAGGTCCATTACCTCCAAACGCTCTTTCGACTATTCATTCTTAAGCTTTGGTTTGATTATCAATTGCGGCCATAGTTGAACTGTACACACATAGCACAATGTAACCGACAAGATCTCGCACTCGAAAGGCACAGGAGGTGGGGAGGCGGAAGCTGATTCACGTTGAATTGAAGGGTAACACATGACCAGTGATGATGGGAAGCACGAATTTTGAGCTAGCAAGCCATAGCCTAAACCAATCCGCTAATTCACCCAAGTTAATTAAGATTAATAAACCAAATGTCGATGTTGTTAATAAGTAAGGTAGATGTTGACATTTGAGGAGCCATCGAGTTGAGGGGAAATATAGTTTTATTATAAACAATTATTCTGCAAATTTTACAGAATCGGCATATCTAGGGATCCATGGAGTTTCAGTGTTTTTATTGGTGCACTACGTTTATGCCGAAAAACTAGAAACGGCGAACATCCAGCCATTCTGATCGGTTAGCAGTCGTGCAGAAATAGCATAAAAAAATACCAAAAAGCATATTGGCCCGCATTACAACGATTCAAAATCGTCGACCAGCAGATACGCTCCGAACATTTCGAAGTTATTCCCACATCTGGTACTGGCGATTGGTTGCGAAAATAATAGACAGTAGATTAACCTTGTGTATGCTAACACGTAGTTTCTTTGTGCTGGGGAGCTGGAGGTTGTTGACGAAGATTTGGGACGGAAGTCTCTAGTCGGTTGATTGGAGATGGATAGCAGATAGAGTTGTACGCCCGCGGACAGTGCACAGGACGGTAGTTCGTGAGCGATTATGCTGTTAGCATGTGCACAAAGATCTATGCAAAAAAAACAAAATATATATATATATATATAGAAATGACCACTACTAGCAACGATTTATAGCCGATCTTGCCGCTATTGTTGTCTCTTGTAGCCTTACGGAGTAGTCAAACAGGAATTAGCACGATGCATCACTTACTGATTCCTGCCTGTAGCGTTGCGGGCTAATTTGAATAGCTCCAAACAAATGTTGGTTTCGCAAACACGACGAACAGTCTTTAGAGGGGGTTCGGTCGGTGGGGGAACAGTTGTTCGTAACCATATGAAAGAAAAATACTACGCATATATGGTGCTGTCATTTCCATTTTTAAATTTTGCAAAATAGGCATACGTATTAATATTGTAAAGGAAAGCGTTATAGATTGGTGTAATAGTATCTACAGTATGGCTTGCGTAAGTACCGATCGATAAATGGCGGCAACAGCGTACGGGTATAAATAAAAACCAATGTAAATCTTTTTCGTGCACTTATATAAGACAATATGAAATTAGACAGATAGACCTAGCAAGCAGAAACAATTTAACACTGCGGATTTTCTACTATGGCAAAAAGAAGGTCTCTTCTAGCCGGCTTGTTCTAGCTATCAGCAGGCTGAACGTTTCTGGGAGTCGATGTTTCAAAGGAATAATCTAATACTGTCGTACATCGAAGTTTTATACAAAGCGAAATACATTTAATAATGCTTTTGTTCCGCATTTAATTTTTTTTCCGAATTTATTCCGTATGCATCATTAATAGAAATTTATATAGTGTTATTAGAATTAGCAGTGACCGCTTATCCTGCAAAACATATAGTCTGATCTCTTGACTTTCTACCCACTCTAAACTTGTTCGATAAGTGCTGCCTAGTTCTGAGGAAGGCTCGATACGCTCGAATTAGTAAAAAATCAATGGGACTTGCTAGAAACAGTGCCGGAAGCTTTCTGCCCGTATCAAGTGAGATATATTGTTTGCCACATTTGAAATATTGAGCTTGGAGAAATAATGATATTCCTGAAAGGTAACGAGGAAAGCTAGCGCTTATCGATACTGGTATAGCGCGCCGTACAAAGTTCAAATCCGCGTATCAAACTCGGTAATATTTATGAACTTCTATAATATAATGTGTTTGCAGTGTTCTGCTAATCGTGACAAATAGACGTCTCAGACGTCAGTTGCTTTTTTTTTTTTTCTAGCTAGGATGGATATAAACAATCCTACATTGACTATTGAAGCACATGGTGAGTGTATCTATTTAATGCTCTTTGAAAGTGATAACAGTTTTGCCAACTTCACCGTCTGGCCTGAGTTTTGTATTTGCCTGATTTGGAGTGGATTTCAATCTGTTTATGAAACACAGATAAAGATAGAGCAACTTGTTATAGTTCTTTGTTATATGAAGTCAGAATAGTGAGGTGCTCTGTACTGCGAAGGCGGTAAAATTTTGCTTACCTTTTGCAAGAACAGTTTGGGGTCCTTTTTTTCAGTTTGTGAGCTCTCAACGACGGAGTAAAGTAGCACGACTTGCGTGGAGTTTGAATTTCGAAAGCTAAGGCGAAAACGGGGAAGCAAATAGATACAATTTTAGGAACGACGCTTAATCAGAAATGGGTAGGCAGGTAGGTAGGTAGGTAGGTAGGAGGACAAGCCGACCCAAAAATGAACGGAAAGCAGGACTAGCACGCCATAGCGCTACTGTGTTGGCTTAAAGTCCATCTATGGAATAGAATAGCATATATTGTTATGGAACCCTAAGGCAAATATACTGAGGACGTTTAAATAGGCTGCTCACTTTTCTCTTCGAACCGAAAGCTGAAGAATTTGCGTATGATTATAAGCCATGATGAGAAACATTTTCAGTCGATCATAAATATTTATATCCTCGATTTGCATGTAAACATATATGAACGATCGCCGCTTTTAATATAACGGTTATTTGTAACTTATGCGGTCTCCGTTAGAGGCGTTCGCATCAATTGTCAAACAATCGTCTGCATCTGGCGGCTAAGTCTGAGCGAAATTGAATGGGCTATCAGATCGACCCGATGAACGTATGTTTCTATTACCGGGCAGACCCGAGCAGCGTCCACTCTATTACGACTTGAAAATTCCGCAAGAGTCAATGGCGATGTAGGACACTATCTTCCTCCGCCGATCTGTCCTGTCACGTCAATTAAATCGTTGTAAATTCTCGGTACATTTTGCGCTCATAAACGTTCATATATATTCGTCTATCGTTTCTATAATAAAACAGCAATAGAATATGTAAAGTGATAAAATAGTTCTAAATACGGCTATTAGCAAAAACGAAGTCAACCTCTGAATATGAACCTAATCTTTTATCTCTTTTTACGTGAGCCAAAAACATTCTACATACAAATGTTCGACATCATTATAGAAATGTATAGATATATATGGTTTATGTGTTATCGAAATATATAAATGTTTTTGCTTCTTTTGTATTGAACAAGTGATGCGACCGAGTGACGCTTACATGTCCAGAGTGGACAAATACATACTTTTGTAAAGAACGACCAATGAACGTAACCGCAGTACGACATCGCGATTTAAAAAGGCTAGGAGAGCTCTATCTAAACAACATAGGGGGCCTTAATTGTAGCACACTGCTTGAAATAGAGTGCATACCTTTTTTTTTGCAGAGTCAGCACATTTCCTTACGATTACTATTCTAAGGCTTATCTGTTAGAGCCTACTAGGTCTTCAATCTCGTCATTAACAAGACAGTAATAATAACTGGTCCCTGTTGCAGTCGATCTAAAATTGCGAAACTATAATTTCTGTTTACTTCCATTGTGAAATAATCATAAATT